AAGGGATGGATGGCATGGCTAGGATTTAAGGGAGCTAATGAAAAGTTACTCGTCAAAAGAATATTGCGAGCATCTATAGCTTCTGCCTCTGCCTTATTAATGGTGTGGAAGCGATCTATCAAATTTCTTGAATAACAAGGGGAAATAGGCCAAGTTTGGCCAAAACCAAGTTGACGAGCAAAAAATTAGGGAGCATATAATTCAACCCCAGCTTTGGCATTGGTTCCAGTCAAAATATCATGGAACAACTCCCTCCCAATCAAAAACTGAAGCCAAACGAGCAGAGAGGTGCTCGCACTGTCTAGGGTGGATGGGGGTTGCACATAATCTGTAGTTAAAAAGGGAGGAAAAGGAAAGAAAGAAGGAATTGAATTCAAAGTATAAAAGAATGAAAAGATGTCCCTTCTGGACATATTTACAGGGTTCAGTGGGTCAATAGCTAGCCCATAGCAGCTAGCAGAATGAAGGGAAAAGGATAGAGCACCAAGTGATGGAAAATAGGCTCTCAACCACATTTGAGTGAACCAAAGAGGCCCACTGCCAGTGGGAGATGCACCATTGTTCAATTGAAATTGGAGAGAAGCCATACCTCTATAGAGGGCAGCTAAAAAAAAAGAACACAAATTTAGAAGCCTACCACGCACCAATTCGTGCGTTATGAGTAAATAGCTCCTAGAAGGCTTCATGCTTGGCACACGCAGAATATATTTACAAAGCCAAATCTGAAGAAAGGTCACACGCTCAGCATGGGAAGGCTCAGCGCTGGAGTGATTATAACAGCTTTGCAGGCTTGAATAGGACTCGGTGAGTTTTCTGTCAAATTTTGGGGTGGCACCAGAAATCAAAATACCAGGGAAAATGATATTGCCTTAAGGTGGTAGATTTACTAAGGCCCCAACATCCCTTAAAGTAATGGACATGGGATCAAGAGGGAAAACAAAAGTATTATACTCAGAGGACCAAAAACTTAAAGCAATAGGGAAAAACGCTGGATCAAAAATTGGGAGTTGAAGAGAGATTTCTAATAAATCAGAAATCCTAGCACTATCAAAAATTGCCTTGGTAGGACCATGGCCCACAAGGCGAGCATGCCATCTACGGAAAACAACATCAGATTTAGCCCAAGTGCAAATACCTCTTTCGCGAAGCGGCCTCAGCGGCAAAGAGTTTAGAAATGGAGGGCCTCGAGTACAAGGGAACAGCTAGCCCGCCACCACTTGGTCAATGGCCTCGGCATTGTTAAATGAAGGACCTAGATAGAACTCACTGAATTCGGCATTGGCTGGTGCAAGGAAGTTCGAAGTTATATATGGCCGAGTGAGGATTTTCTTGAAGTCTTCGAAACTGAAAGACTCACCAGATTGGGATTGTGAAGCAGCCATTAGGAACGAAATAAAGTTTTGTTGAAGTTTGCTTGAGAAATAATAAAGAAGCAAGAAGATGAACAGTAATATTGCGAGAGAGAATCGTGAAACAATGAGACGTGATTTAGTAGTGCGATGAAATGCGCGTGTATTTGGGGGTTATAAGGGTTTGCAACGTCGCGCCTTTTCAAGTTATGAAAGAAAATAATGATTGAATGAGACGTGATTTAGTAGTGCGATGAAATGCGCGTGTATTTGGGGGTTATAAGGGTTTGCAACGTCGCGCCTTTTCAAGCTATGAAAGAAAATAATGATTGAAATTCTTGGAAATTTCAAATGTTGCTGGGAAACACAAAGTGAACATGGCAAAAATTAATAATTGGTATTAATTTTGCCATATTGGGGGGTAATTGTTGACACGCTAATAGTGCAGCCCAAATCGAACAGCTCCAAAGAATGAAGCCCAACTGAGCAATTCAGGATAAAGGCCCAAATATGGTTATTAATGAATGCAGTGGAAGCCCATGAACGTGGTAACACCATCACCCAAACTTGAAAGACGCCCAAGATCTGAGCGAATGAAGTGCCTTGCAGTCGCCCAGGGTTATGACCCTGTTTTCGCCCAAACTTTCGAATCGCCCAAGATCTTAGCAAACATAAGATGTTATGATTATCCAAAAGTGCAGTTATTAAAGCAGTTATTAAGTAATCTTATCACGTTTCACAATTCAAGGAGTTCAGTTGAAAACGGTTGAATGACAAAGAGTAGTGGCAGTAGTTAGAAACGGCAGTTCCACGATAAGTTGGCCACCATGAAGAAAGTGGGCAGTTATAAAGAAATTAAGCAGTTTCTAAGCGGTTGATCACGAAAAGATCATTAAAGAAATATAAAAGGAAGAAAGACGTAGAGCAATGGAGCTCGAATCAAATACTCTCAAACAGAGAATATGTAATTTCAATTTCTTAGTTTAGACTTAAATATTTATTTTCTGTACTCGTGTACTTGCGCCCCTTGGAGGCATTCTGTTCAGTTCCAATTGTAAAGTCATCGCCAATAAAGCACCCCTTTTTGAGATTTTGTCTCAAGAGGTTTGTTCCTTACACAATCGTCTGATCTCTTTTTAATTGTTAACGACTACCCGCGCAAAACAAATTGACTCATAAATCCATATTTGAAAGGCAAGTGGGAAACCATGAAGTCTATATGGCATTATACCCTTGGGGTCTTCAACTTTGGGGTTTGGCTTGGCAAGAGCGAGCTTCAAGTACTTGTATGTGGTCCGGACTAAATCCTTTCCCCATGGGAATGTATCCATGTGTGGGGAGTCAATGAGGTTCAAAATTTCATTTGCAAGTACGTTCTCACTCGTCATGGTGTAAAGGTAACTTGAAATCAAATACAGAATACCCAGCCTCATAGCATCTTCATTCGTAGTTGCGACAATGAGGTCATTGAAAGTATTCTCGAGGTCTTTTCTATAAACATTCTTTCAATGTCTGAAGTACAAATAGTTGATGCGACAGCGACCAACATTGTACATGCTGGTGTTATCGTCACCATGGCACTTCAACCCGATGGCAAGTGCAAACTCTTCAATTGAGAACTTGAGATGTTTACCCCCAACTTTAAACCACATTTCGTTGTGGGTTGATTGTCGAACTTTCGTTAATAGAATCTTGTGAATAACCTGGTGTTGTAGTCGTAGATCATTCATTTGCAAGAAGTGTCTAAAACACGTTCATCTAAACAATTCCTTCTGTGACGCGGTTAGCTTGCTGTTCAATTATATATAACCATTTTCCTGAAGAATATATTCAGGCTTGCACCAAATCTGTTCTCAGGGGGATTTAGAATGAAGATTCTAAGTGCGTTGCATTAAACCCAAAGTTATTCGAGCCAAGACAAAAATAAATTTAATTCTGCAATTTTATTTCAGTGCATTATATGAAATATAACACGTTCATAATGTACTGACCTCACCAATGTACAATAGCTAGTTTCATGCATCACATAGTGTGAAATACAGACAATTTTAACAGCTTCTAATTCATCAATTTTTTTATAAGGAAACATTAAAAATGTGTAATGTAACCTCATGCATATTATTGCTTATCTACACATTGTGAAGATAAGCATCAAAATCATTTGATTATACCCAACTCAAGGAACATAACCATCACATTGGACAACATATGAATAATTATGTGCAAATCCGATTAGTATAATCAAGCAGAGATTATTTGGAACATAATTCTATATGAATAAAATATTTTATATTATAACATAAAGATAGATATAATTCGATAAGCATTCATGTTTACTCTTTAGGAATACAACTTGCTTGTGCCTTGTGACTTTTAGCAACTTTGTTCTTCTTGGAGCTAGAGCCGATTACTATCGTTTCCATTACCCTTTTGCCAGTTTTTTCCAAGATGGGCTTCTTCAAAACATCAACTCCAGTGTTATGCGTACCTCCAACGTTAGAATGTCGGTCAAGCCTTTCCTTTGATTCGGACAGAATGGTTACTGACCTTGTCACGGGCCTAGATGGAGAGCCTAAATTTTCTACTTTTGTGACCATATTGTTTGTTGTTATAGAAGGCAAGCGTCTAGATGGAGTTTGCACATCATCGCCTTTGGGTGCCATAGTCCCCTTATTTTTGGAAGGCATGCTCGGCTGTTCAATCCACACTGAACCCAGAGAAATTTGAGGGTTTGGTGTACGATTTTGTGTATCGACCGTGTATTGGCCTTGAATCTTTTTAGAGCCCATATACAAACGGTGGTATTAAGGCCGTGCAGATGGAGATTCCTCTATAATATTCACCATCTTGAGTGAACCCAAGGATAATCGAGAAGTCGGTAATGTCATCTTCAGAATCAAGTGTAACCATTCTATTTACGAATGGCAGATGTGCTTGATATTGGAGTTGGAATGGTGAGATTACAGGTTCGCTAGTTAGGGTTTATATAGCGATTTTTACAACGAGAAAGGCGATTATGCAGTGAACAAAGAAGAATTTTTGGACAAAGAATATGGTGGAATCACATTTTGAGTTGCGAAATAGCAAATTTCTTGTGATGATTTGAAGATTTCCTGGTTTTGATTTGAATATGATTTCTTGCTTTTGTTCTAAGCAGAGAAACTGGTGTTTTGGGTGATAGACATTATTAGGGCGTGTTTGTTGCACTACATTTAGCTCCATGTATACCATATATGTAAATGAATATATTTTCCAGTTCTCAAAAGTACTACAAAAATTGCAGTATATTTGGTGAAAAATAAATAGAAATGTAATAAATGAATTATTTTTAAATGTGTAGTGTGTGGTGACATTTCCACTTACGACATTTCTACATATTCTGGGCCTATTTTGCAAATTTTCCCACTGCAACCTACAGCAAGTATACCAATCTTTGCAACTGTAATCTCACTCCATTTCATTCCAGGGATTGAAACCTACAAATGTCCTCTGTTCCCCATGACCAGGAGTTCCAACAATCCAGCTTAGCTTATTGGAACTTCAAGATCTCCCATAGACTTAGGTGAACTCGAGCACTTGGACAATTTCGTGTATTAAGGTATCATGTTCACTCGAACAACACTTTAAAGCAAATTAAGCACAATCAAGGCCTGCTGGAAATGCTAAAATAATTGACCATTGTAAAAGCAAAAGGCTAGTGGTGTATATAAATAAATCCTAGCACTATAGAATATTACAAAGGATGAAACCTGGGTTTGGCACCCAATTAGAACCGACGACAAATTCAACCAACTTTTTTCCATGCAATTATTTAGCCCGACCAGATCAAGCAAATCAATAAGATTAGCACAGTAAGATAAAGAAAGTCACAACTACAACATTCCCGACTGGTCTCTGACGTTCATCATAGAGTATTCAACTTTTTTCTTGATCATCATCTCAACCAATGAGTCATAATTTGCCACCACTCAACCTTCTGAATGACGTTATGAATTACATTCATGCGTTCTGTTTTTCTAGCTTCATAAGTTGCATGAATTCCCCAAATACTGCCCATAGAACAATTTTATTAGCAATAGACTCAAAAAATTTGCTTAGAAACAGATTATTAGCAGCACACTATATATCAAGAGTTCAGTAAATTAAAAAAATTGTTTTAAAGGAGATAACTCTGAGAAATACCAGGATCTGAATCATGAGGTCCCGGGGATGCTTCGGGATGGTACTGAAGTGACATCAGCCTTAACTGAGAGAAGGCAAGCCCAGCACAGCTTCCATCATTGAGATTAATATGAGTCACTTCTGCACCTTCTGGAAGTGATTCAGGGTCAACAGCATAGTTGTGATTCTGCATAAGATGGGTTCGAGTGATGTTCCGAGGGAAAATAAAATTCTTCACGAATGTGTAGTTCAGGCCATGAAGGAGGGGGTTGGGGGGGGGGACATAATTGTAAAACTGTATCTCTAAGATTACAAATCTACAGTATTTATAAAACTGAATTCGCCCTCACCTATTTTGCAATATACCTCAAACCAGATTTAACTCCTTACCTTACCGGTTATAAATCAGAATTGTAAAATAAAACAGAACTAAAGGACAATTACAAAGACAATGGATAAAAGAACAAAGGATGAACTCGAAAAGATTCAGTATAATTCTGCATATGTATGGAATACCATATTAAATTTAGACCAAAATTATCTGGTGAATGAACAAACCTGGGCACTGATCTCAACACGGCCATTTCGAAGATTTCGGACTGGATGATTTCCTCCATGGTGACCAAACTTCATCTTGAAGGTCTTACCGCCCAATGCTTGACCAAGCAACTGATGTCCCATGCAAATACCAAAAACAGGAACTTTTCCAATTATTTCCTTGACAATTTCAACAGCATAAGGAACAGCCGACGGGTCTCCAGGACCATTGCTGAATAGAAATCCATCAGGTTTCATCTTTAGAGATTCAGAGGCAGGCCATGTAGAAGGAACGACTGTAATTTTACAGCCGTAGGATGCTAGGCGCCTCAATATATTTTGCTTGATACCAAAATCATATGCAACAACCTTCATTCAAGGGAAAAAAATAATAATAATAAATAAGAGATGTCAAATTACAAATAATAAAAAATGCATCTTGTATTATAAAAGTCAACATGTGAGATATGTACATGAAAAGTCTCTTCCTTTCTTCCATTGAAATTAAAATCCCACTCTGAATTTGTTCTATCAACCCATTCATAAGGAGCCTTACACGAGACCCCACTTATTAAATCCACACCTGCAAAATTGAGTCATAAACCCAAATGCAATCTGATCATAAACCACTAAAATACCAATCAAACCAATGTTGAGAGTAGATTGAACATTACCAACAATATTCCAAGTTCGAGATGTTTTTATAAGTTCTTCATCCGTTTTAGATTCATCAGTGCTTAGTACACCAATAAGGCTACCATCTTGTCTCAATCTACGGGTAATAGCACGGGTGTCAACATCATCTGTTACATAACAGAACAAGAAGAAAATTAGAGAAAGGATGAGTGTAGCTCGAGGCACATAATTAGCAAACACAAAAATAACCTACATATTCCCATAATGTTCCTTTCTGCCAAATAATCCCCAAGCGTCTGTGTGCATCTCCAGTTTGAGGTACTGAAGTATGTTAAGCGGTAAATACGCAAAGGATAAAAAAAAAAAAAAAATGGAAACATGACTGGTTGGAATCATGGTTATATATGACAGCAACCTGATACTCAAACTTCTGATTACTAGTCCTGCTAAAAAACATTGTCTTGATTCTTCATCATCTGCCAACAAAGCGTGCCAATTCAAAATAGTAAATATTTTTTCAAAAGTAGTTTCTTGAGACATCAGTGAGCATTGCACGCACCAAAATTGACACCAGTGTTGCCAATATGTGGGTTTGTCATCAAGACAAATTGGCCTGCATAACTAGGGTCCGTAAGGATCTCTTGGTACCTGCAACATCAGAATATCGAGAAATTTTTATATAGAACCAGAAAAGATATGTCAATCATTAAATCTGTTCACTCAAGTCCTTAACCATGTCACACTCAGAAATCAACACCTGTTTTACTCACTCGTGTGACAGCCATTAATATGAATTTTCTGTTTCTACTTGAAATTAGTTATTTAAGATGGTGACTTAGTTATAGACATTATCCCTTTTTTGGATCAGTAGTTCTGTGTTGCCAGGAAATGATGTTCAGCATGAATGTTTGTTGTTAGTGTTACATTTCCTTTTCTGTTTTTCAATTTGTCTGACTAATCGGAAGAGCAATCCAATGCAAATATAACTTCATAGAAGTCCACAACCCAATGGCATGTTCTTAACAGTTGAGCAGAGCCAGAAACATTATTCAGTGGGAGTATGATTTAGTTGAAATAAATTCTCAGAAAAATTATTTCAATAAATTACAGGTTTCAATACGAGTTTGCTTTGAAAACTAGAATGTTAAATACATTCTCAAGCAATAAGATAACTTGAGAAATCAGAAAAATACTGAAACAGTGAGTACATGAAGCTCGTTAGGTGAAAGTTGCTGATGAGGACATCTATGTTGGACCTTTTAGTTGGGCTTATATTACGTTTTGTGTATTGGTCCAGGCCTTTTATTTTGCTTTGGGCTTGTATAGTGTTTTGGGCTGGCCCAAGCCCAATCGTTTTGTTTGCATATTTTGTTTGTATATTATATATAAGCATGCAGCCTGTTGCATGGACAGATTAGATGGATGAAATGAAAACTGAATTGTTGCAGAATTCCACCGCCCTTCTCTTCTCTCCCCCTTCTCTCCTTCTTCTCCTTCTTCTCCCCTAGCCATTTCTCTGTTCTGGTTATTAACCTATGCTACATCAGTTGCTTTCTGCAACTCAATCTTCTTCGAGCAGATTATAAATGAGGTGAATAGCCTACCTAGAAGTTAGAGGCATTGTAAGTTGAAGTCATCATTTTTCCAATTCTTTCATCCTCTGACTATGCACTAGGCAGAATAGTTTACCGAACAAAGCCAATTTTAATTTGTGTCCCCCAAACATATCTTTTAAAGATATTTTAAATTTTATACACTTACTTTATGTTTGCCTTTACGCTTTAGTGATTTCGCTCATAAGTTTTATCTCTAGGTAGAAATAGTTTACAGTGGGAGAGTAATTGAATTAATTTTATTCATTAAGACGAAATTTACTCCACTTTCAAGCCTTTCAACAAAACCACCTTCTGACATACATATAATTAAAATAAATAGTTTTCAATTGGTGAACTTTCTTCACTATTCCCAGCCAAAAGACTTCTGCAGATTTCAGTAAATTTCAACTCCATTGCAATAGTAGATAGATGCCAACAGGAACACAAAGATAAGTAACGGCTTCCATAAACACAAAATTGGCTTCTTAAATAAGATTTCCAATGTGGTAAACATGTTAACCCACTAAGGCCAGAAACCATAATCCAGAAACCTCAAGAAATGATGTAATGAAGTATAAAAGCAGATCGAGGAATCAAAATCAAAAACACTAAAAATTTTCGTGGTTCATTATAGTTAAGACACCTACACCCATAATAGCCTTATTGAGCCATTCTGCACAAAGTGGTCCATTCAGATATCAATTACACACCCAAGATAACCTGACCATTACACAAAAGATGGAAGAATCAAATGCAAGAGGTCTCTCGGGACTTCTATCAATCACCTTGAGACCATGAGCCTGATCCCACCTTCTTTCCAATTTCAATCCGTGGACCAGAAATGATAAATGAATCTGTTGGAACATAAATGGATTCCACACATTTCTAACAAACCCTGCCCCATTTTACCTACCTAGACAAACACTACCATAATAGAAAATAATACACAGTTCTAAATTCTTATTGAAGCCTTTGACCACCTGCTGAAGCACCTGACCACCAAAACACAATAGGAAATTTCACCCCCAAATAACGTACTGCCCCCGCCCTGCTAACGGTGTCCCACTTGCAAGTGGAGGATAAAAATTCTTTATCAGCCAACATTCATTCACAAACACAGTGGAAATAAATTCATAGTAAATTCTTAATTTTTACCCGGTTAATGATGTGTTGAAAACCACTTCACCAACTTGGGTTCCAGAAGCACCAAACGACTTCGCTCTCCAAATCGAACCATCCTCCAGCACCAGCCTGGCATCTGCCACCTTCCATGGCCTTTCCGCCAAACCTATTGCCCAATGACAATATAGATGAAAATAAATAATTGATATAAAATTCAAAGAAAAGTACTTTATCTCAGGAACGTCAGGATTGAAAGTAGTTGCTAAATTAACACGCACACACGAATTACACATATACATAAATAAATCAAATCGAACGGGACTACAGAAACATTACCCGTGGAGGCATTGTTGGAGAGAGAAACAGAGTGGCACTTGACGGTAAAGATCCTGATTTGTCGTGAATTTATGATTTGGGGTTTAGAGCATGACGGAAGCGGAATTGCGACTCCTAGAGCACAATCCATTGTCTTCTCGTTCGTTTTGCCGCAAAAATGCAAGTGAAGCTAGGTTTTTGCAGTAGATAGGGTTAAATTCGTCAATGCCAATCAGCTTTATGCTTCAACGTCATAATCACCCCTAATTTCATTTGACGTTTCATAATGACCACCCAATTTTGTATAACTTTTGATCATGATCGCTCAACCGATTTTCACAATTTTCATTGTCATTAATTTTAAAAAGGTAGAATAGTAGCATTACATTATATAATAATAATAATAATAATAAGGTAGAATAGTAGCATTACATTATATAATAATAATAATAATAATAAATTTTAAAAAAAACTTATTTTGAAAAAATAAAATAGACGATTATTTTTTTAAAAATGTTACTAAGAAAAGTAAAATAAAATAAGAATTTATTTTTAAAAAAATTTCCTTACAAAAATAAAATAAAATAATAATTTATTTAAAAAACATAAAATTAAAATAAAAACTTATTTTAAAAAAATATTACTTAGAAAAATAAAAGAAAATAAAAATTTATTTTTAAAAAATGTTTTTAAATGAAAAGGACTTTTATTTTATTTTTCAAAAAAAAAAAAATATATATATATATATATATATAATGCAAAATTATCACTTTACTCCTTTTAAAATTAGTAAAAATAATGAAAAAAAAAGTTTGGATGGCAATAATGAAACGTTATATGAAATTAGGTGGTCACGGTGGCACTAAATATAAAGTTGGTCATTGATGGATTTAACCCACAGTCGTTGAGTTAGAGTTCGATCAAAAAGAGAATTACATCGAAACCGCTCCAACATATGTTCTGTACCAATTTTGATACGAACCCACGTAACAATAGTTTGCGACTCCAACAATACCTCAATACCATTTTCAGCACCAATATTCCCAATTCCCAATCTCCAGTTCCTTATTATACAGGTCCAATAATTGCTTGTGAATCACTTGATTCTACTTCCTACAATCAAGGCTTCCCTTCTTCATCAATCTCCACCACAATTTGAGTAAGCTATCGAATTACCGTTCCACCATGATTTCGTGATATCCACCATGAATATGCTCACCTAGAGTGGGCAAGACTACCAATAGTGAGGCGCGACCATGGGTGCGACTATAGGTGACGATTTGAGGGGTTAAGTCGTGCAACTCTTTGGTTTTTTAATTTGATTTTTGATTTTCTTGTATTGTTGTTTGTCCAATTATTGTGTGGGGTGTGTTTGTGGATTGAGGTCACTGGCGAGGAGATGAAATTTTAACGGATTGGGTGGTTGACGGTTCTCGATGATATTTCTAGTTTGGAGTAGGTTACTGGGTGGAAGATGAGTTTTAGTTTATTTTTTATTTAATTTTTAACTTATTTTAGGTATAATATGCAAAGTTATCATTTTCATTTTTATTTAATTTTTATAGACTGTTTCCGTCAAGTTGGAGTTCAGGTGCATATTTCTTAAAAGTTTGGGATCTTTGCTAGCACAAATTGAAAGGTTAGAGTGAAGTATGCTAATATGCAAAGGTTTGGGATCGTTTTTGCAATTTTTCATATTATAATTCCATTCATACCTCGGGCACGTGAAATTTTTGACACCAATAGGGCAGGGAATGCGAGTGGGAAATACATGGAAATAACCTTTAGAAAATGGCTACTTTTCTAAAATGATCTTTGGTCAATTTACATACCAAAAATACCCTCCATTTGGATATTACATAATGAGACACTACAATATAAAAATCTTCTATTTTAGTCCTTAATATTAAATATTAACTGAAATTTAGTAGTTTTTATTTGATTTTTATTAGTAATATTTTTATTTGATTAATTTAATTTTTGTTCGCTCTAAGTAGCCCCCTTTTATTGGTATTAGAGTCATAGAGATCATGAAAAAACCTATAAAAAATAGATTACTTGAAGATGTAAAAATCTTTAGATCTAGATTAAAACTTAGATTTTATATAAGTTTAATAAATAATAGATTAACGATTAAAAAATTAAAGGAACATTTAGATTATGCACCTTTAAAATAATAATTGATACACAAATATTTACATTTTGATAAAAGCATAAAGATCATGAAAATTAAAATAAGAAAAATAGATAATTATTGGTGTTAGAATAAGAGATAGGTAGTTCTATATTTTTAAAACATATTCATAATAGATTAAAAACAATGACTCTAACAATAATTAAAGAGTTGCCTAGAAAAATAAATGAAAAAATATTAGAAAAATTAATAATAGAAAAAATAAATGATATATATACATATGAAAAAATTATTAATATATATGAAGATGAAGAAAATCATTTATATTATAAAGAAATGTATGAGTGTAAGTTATATCACACATTTAAAATTGAATAAATTACTTATAAAAATGGAAAAAATACGAGAAGAAATACAAAATATAATGTTAATACCAGATGGAATAAAAGTATCAAATAATAGACAATTAATAAAATTAAAATGCGAAATATTAAGATTTGAGAGTAGATATTTTACTATAGTAAAAAAAGAATTAGTAGATCTAGATATAGCTGAAACAAGATTTGGAAAAATAATAGATAAAAAAGAAGATAAAATATGCAAGTTGACCTATGAATTAGAAATAAAAAAAAATTAAGATGTCATAAGCGAATATATGGAAGAATTAAAATCATTAATAAAAATGTTAATGAATTATGTACAAGATTTAAGAAATGAAGTAAAAGAAACAAGAAACGATATAAATATATTAAAAATTGAAATTAGAGAATTATAAGAAAATAAGAAAAATAAAGATAAGAAAATAGATAAAAAAAAACTTATAGAAAAATAAATGACTCGAATATGAAAGAAACATATAGAAAAAGAGAATATAGTAATAGAAATAGTAAGTATGGATGATGAATTTAGAAAGAATATATTATCAAAAATATTAGAAGAGGAAGAAAAATCTAAAGAAAAATTATTAGAAAAATTAAAAGGAGAAGAAAAAAGATAAAAATGAATGAATAATTAGATTTACAAATAGAAAATTTTGATCTATTAAGCTTAACTAATATAAGTGAGTATCAAGTTTTAATGAATATTGGAGGAGAACCTAATCCAGCAGAAATCTCTAAATAAAAATTACATGATACAGATGAAAGTTATGCACCTATATATAATAAATCATATAGACAATTTTATGATAAAGTAAGAGATAGACAACCACCTAAAGCAAATAAATATAAAGATATGTTTGCATTAAATGATAATTATGATAAATTAATTAATCATGGAAGAACAAAACTAGGTTTAAATTGTAAAATAGATACTAAAAAAATCTTATTAATTTGGGCAGATTCAACGATATTATTCCTTTTATATAATAAAGATAAAACATGGGAAAGTACTGAAAGAAAAATAGATTTCTTAATAACATCATTTGAAGGAGATGTTAGAAATTTGTGATAAGAAATAAGCAATGATAAAATTATATTAATAAAAAGAAATGTACAAACAGAAATAATAAAGTCAGATAGACAAGGCATAGAAAAGTTAGTAGAATATATTTTAGATGAATTTTTAGGAGAAAATTGGATAGGAAATGCTGAAAGAGAATCAATAAAAGAAAAAGATAATACTAGAATAAAAATAATAAATTTAACAATATGTGATATGTGTAAAATTAAAAAATATACTTGTGAATTTAAAAATTACTATTATATTCAATTTTATAATAATGAAAATCAAGAGTTATACCAAGACATGTACTATAATAAGTTACCAGGTTTATGGAGAACATATTTTATGGTTGTGCTGTGTGTACACAATGATGTACACACAACCTTACACCCCCCTCACATGGAGGGGCCCCACATGTAATAAAATATTCGTACGCCCCCCTACATGTGAGGGGGTACACACAGCTTTACTTTTATTTTAAAATAGAATTTGAAAAATATGTTAGAGATAATATTGGAATACTTAGAATTTTAGGTTCAATAATAAAATTTTTATTTGAAAGACTTGCATATTTATGTCAACAAAGACAATTAATGAAAAAATCAGAAAAATTAATTAAAATATGTTGTGAAGATATGGAAGCCCATGTGCAATGGGGATGTAATCCTGGAAAAAGAATTAATAAAAGAAAGTATAAAAATAAAAAATTTAAAAAATTTAGGAATTTTAATAAAAAATATATAAAACCTAGAAGAAGATGTCACAAAAGAAAAAATAACCCGTATAATCAACAGAAGAATAAAAATAAAAATAAAAGTCAGTGTAAATATTGGAATTGTGTAGGAATATGTCATATAAGTCCTGATTGTGATAAGAATAAAGTTAGAATATTACAAAAGAATATTTAGAAATAAAAGATAAATTAAGTGAAATATCAGATATTAATAAAATACTATAATCAAGAAGTATATATAAGTGAAATAGAGGATGAATCAGATCTAAATAGAGAAATTGAAAAAATCGAAAGTAATAATATAAATATACAAGAATATGAAGGAATAGAAGAATATGGATTAAAAGTCACTTTTGATAATAACGAGTTTAGAAAATTGCAAAAATTATTTTTAGACTTAAAAATAGAAAAATGGGAAGTCTTTTATAGAATTTGGAAAAGAAAAATAATAGCAATAAATGAATATCACGAAATAAAAAAAACCTGCATAAATGTAATAAAAATTTATGGGCAACATAAATTAAATCTTTTAACAAAAAATACAGTTGAAGAACTATTAACAAAGATTAGTAAAAAATAAAGTGAAAAAATCCAATATGTTTATTTAGCAAAAATATAAACAATGTTTAAACTACTATTCAGAGAAGGGATAGACTCACCCTTAATTATAACTTTACATGGTAGAAGAATAATAAATTTAAAAGATAATCATTTAGGAACAATAGAAGGAAATTTAGCATATCAAAAAATTATGTTTACGTGTTATCCAAAATATTATCATTAAAAGATAGAAACTTTAATTAAGTTCTAGGACTACATTTTAAACTTCATAGAGATGATATTATGTAACCATGAGATCAAATTATAACTATAGAATATACAGTTTTGTATACATTTACTAATTCTAATTATGGAAATATTTATTCTA